AATAAATTGAAATAGAGAAAAATGATTTAATTCAAACTTAATTGGAACTTTACCTTTTCCTAACAAAATCTTCATTTCAGGTGGCCCCAAAAGATGGTAAAGATAGGGATGATAATTTAAACGGTTGTTTAAATGGTATCTTTAACTCAATATTTGATATGAAACCTTGTATCAAGGAGCATGCCTACTTTACAATATGTATGCAATTTAGAAAAATAGAAAATAATATGAAGATTATTTTTTAATAGATATGTTGTAATGGGAGATCATCAATAATTTAAAAAATGAAGGCTAACTGAATTTAGAAGAAATAATCCTACAAATTGAGAAAATACATGAAAAATTTGTGAAAAATTCAAATAATTGGAAAAACCATTTTTTGTGGATTTAAATGATTGGAAAAATTATAATTTATAGTCCTTTGATAACATAAAAAAAATTAAATCAGCTGACTAGGTCTTTCAATTTTGAGGCAAAATCAAATTAAATATGGAAGCAATATCTTAACAAAGGATTTCTAATGTAATTAAATCATGGCAACGACTAAGCTTTAATTTTACTTCATTAATTTAAAAATAAAGAATTAACTTAAATTGATAAATTAATACTAGAAGACTCCTTCAAAGAATGGGAAAACCTGATGTTGCTTAAAGACTTCTTACTAAATGAAAAAACTGATAATATATATTTCACATTAGGTTCATATTTAACATTAAAGTTAGAGAATTTAGAACCCTAAAAAAATGACTAAATTTAGGCAGTTTGCAATATTTAACATTTTCTTGATTTCCTCATTTCTAATAAATTGCTAGCTTTAATTCAGGAAAATGAAGAGAGATTGGGAATCATAGTTAAATATTATAAAAATTTTATTAAATAAAATAAGTGTTTTAATGTAAGATTGGAATAAGACATGTATAATTCATAATTAAAAAAAATAAATCTCAATTTCAAAAAATATTTCTTAAACACTCTAAAAATCATTAAAATTATTAAGCTAAGTTTAAGGAATTACAATATTTAGATAGAATTAATTGAATAGATGAATGAATTCTAAATTTGCTAATAACTAAAATATATTATGAGAATATTAGAATAAATATTATCATATGCAATTTAAGATGTTAAAGATAATAGAAATGAACCTGATGAAAGCATAATGCTTTAGTAGGATATAGAGTTGATTTGGAAGAAATTATAAAATTTAAATTTAACAGATAAATAATTTTCATTTGTGAATAGGTTTAAGTAGAACCTACTTGCCTTACCTAGTGCAATTCTTAACAAGAAAATTTTTTTAAAAGATGCTCAATGCATGTTAAAACTTATTGAACAAACTGAAAAATAAGTCTAACAGTTAGAAATTTTGTTACTTTAAAAGGATAACTTAATTCAATACTTTTAAGGTTTATTGAATAGCCTAAATTATTATTATGAACAATAGATCTAAGAACTTCAAATTTAGATTAAAGAATTAAATTTAAGTTTAAAGACATTTCTAATTTTACAGTATGAACTAGAGTCTGCTTCTTAACCTGAAAAATTAAAAGAACTTTAATAACAATATTCTTAAAAGCTTTCAATTTAATTTATACAAAAATAAAGATTGAACATTTTAAAGCTTAAATTGCAATTAATAGCTTACAAAGAATGTTTTTAAAATATATTAACAATACCATCAGAGGAATTTTTAAAATTAAAAGATGTTTTCGATTTGAATGAATTTTTACTTGATGTAGTTAAGAATTATCCAAAACGAATAATTTTCTGTAACATTTAATTTGAAGAATAAACTATTGCAGAACTAAGTTACTTATAAATTACTGAATAGGATTATTGGAATAATTTAACAATATAAAAAGGAATTTTAGAATATCTCTAATTTAATTTAACTTTAGAAGATAGAATTAATTGAAAATGAATTTGGAGAATTTTTAATAGAAGAAGCAGATCCTACAACTCCTTCTTAAAGAATTATGAAAATTATAAACGATTTTTCAAAAGAATGCTCATTCAACATTTTAATTAATGAAAATCTTAATCGACATTAATTAAATATTGAGACAGAATAGTATGAGATGTTATTGTAATAATTAAGAAAATTTAACTACTAAGAAAATTTTGAAGTTGCAGAAGAACTTACTAATCAGACAGATTGAAATCCTTGTCCAGCTATTGAAAGCTTCTATTAATCAAGATCTAATTTTTTTTCGAATGCCAATCAATGAAGCAATATATAATTTAAAAGATTAACTTCAAAATTTTAAAACAAAATATGGTGATAAGTACAATAGGGATGATAAGAATATTTTTGAGGAGTAAAATACTATCCAAAAAAAAATTAGAACAAATTTGTCAAACATTATTAATATTCTATAATTATTATTAATAAAAACAAGATAAATGAAGCAAAAGTTGGCCTAATTACTTGAAAATGTTAAACTCTTTACTAAAAGCCTTAATTTTTCCCAATACCATTCATTGTAAATGTATGGAAGTTTTACAATATGCTTTTAACAGCACATAAACAACTTGAAGGAATCACTATTCACAACTGCTAATTTATAATAATCGGAAAAAGAATTTAAAAAATACTTTTCAAGAATTTAGAACAGCATATTATATGGTGAAAATTAATCAGACGTAAACAATTATTAACTAATAAATATTTTTGATTTTCTCTATAAATTAATGGCTGAAAAAACAGAGGAGTTAATAAGGTCTAAGTGGTAATTCTAAGAAATTTAGTTTGATTCAGAGTATTTAGTTTAATTGGCTAAAAAAATACACCTACAAGAAAATGATGAGGAATAAGAAGTGAAATCAAATCATGAGGATAAATTCTCCATCATTTAATAAAAAAATGATGAATGGAAAATTAAATAAGGTTTAGTTTTAACGATAATTTAGATTTCATTAAATAGCTTCACAGAAACAATTACTCGATTTTCTTAGCAAGCTCTAATTTAATTATGGGTTTTAGAAAAAGATTAAAGAGTAAGAAATTTATTGAAGGATTAAAACTTAATAAGTTTATAGATGTAAATTTTGTAGAAAGTTTGGTAGACTTAAAATTATAGAATTGCAGGAGAAATGTAGAAAATGCTGAAGAGAATTGATGAACTATAAGAATCAATATCTCTTGAGGCAAATCTAAAAAAAAGAGAGCTGTACTTGTTAGAAATGGATGAAACAACAGCGTAACTAGATTAATATATTCAAAATATCAGTGAAATGGGATAATATCTTAAATTAATAACTGACTTTGTTAATCATATCAGAAAAGGTATGATTAGAGTTGAGGAAAAAATAAATGAGATGAAGAAATAATTAAATAGCTTAGGTAATGAGGTAAAATTTCTTAGAGGAAAATCTGTTGAAGAGCTTTTTGAAATTAGAAAATCGAGAGTAATGAAAGAAGCAGCAAACAACAATATTCGTTCTCTATTTGTACCATTATTTACGTTGGAGATATTTCATAAATTAGAGAAAGGGAAAAAGTATTAATAACGTAATATTTTGATGAATTTGGAAAATTTTTATGATAAAAAAGGAGCGTTAAATGAGTTTTTATTAGATGATGAAGAAAAAGTATTATTAATTCATGGGATAGCTGGATCAGGGAAAAGTACAGCAGCAAAGAAAATAGAAGAATTTATTTTGAAATTGCATGACAATAATTAAAAAATAGGTAATTATATCCTAATACCTATTTATATTTCATTACCATCTTTAAAAATCCTGTGTTTTAAGCAGTAGAGGAAGCACATCATTAAGATGAGTATGGTTTTGATGAGCTTTAATAGAAAGAATGCAAAGAGATGTTAGAAAAGAAAAAATTCAGATTATTAATAATTATGGATAGTTACGATGAGATGAAGTTGAAGATATTTAGAAAAACTTATATATTAATAATAAACTTAAACACAATTGGTCAAACCCACTTGTTATTTTTACTACAAGAAGCGAAATTTTAACAGGTAGTAATTATTCTCAATGGTTTTAACCTGAAAAAAAGAAACAGTTGAAAGAAATCTTACTTCTTAAATTCGATTTTCAATAAATACAGGAATATCTAGAAAAATTTACAATTTAAAGTATTACAATGTTAATATTTGAAATGTATGAATGGTAAACAAAAATTTCAAATAGAAGAGTGATTGATATCATAAAATTTGAAATTTATTAGAAACAATTGTAATAATTTCTAAAAAAAGAAATATCAGGGTTGAAAGGGGAGAATCTATTGAATGAAAAATAAATAGACCATATTTTAACATTTTTGAAGAATAATGAGTTTATATCTTTAAAAAGTCATGATGCTTTAAGAAGCCTGAGCATAAACTTATAAAAACTGTGGAGTGTTGAAAAGTACGAAAAAATTATGAAATAAATCAATCTAAATAAATAAGTGTTAACTCCTTTGATGATGGAAATAGTAGTTTAAGTGTTGCCCCAAATGACAACTGAGATAAATAATTTAAAATACAATTTTATAAAGAATTTTTCAAATAGGCTTAAAGAATTCTACAAAAGTAAATAATTAATTCAAATGTATCGATAACAATAGAAAAAACTGGTGGCATCAAACTATGAATACGAAAACTCTGGAAAAGTTGATTATGATGAAAAATTTGAAATTACATTGATTGATATAGAAGATTTAGAAAAACGAAACTATCAAGAAATTGCAATGAAATTTTGGGATTAAATAGAAGAAAATTCAGTACTAATTCAATTTTATATCTCATAACAATATTAAAGATTTCAGACGTAACTTTTGAAAATATTTTAGTAAAACCATGAGCTATCAAACTAATTATTACTAACTAAAATTACAATTCAAATTGAAAAAATAATTGAAGTAGTTATTGATGCATTCACAGAATTAAATTTAACAAGTTATGATTTTTATGAATAGTTTATAAATTAACACCATTAGAAATATATAGAGAAGTTGAGAAAATAAGGAAAATCTATAAATATTGATGGTTTTCTGCATGATTTAAAAAGATATTCAACAAATCTTGCTAAAACAATGAGTAAGAATAAAATAACTTAAGTGTAATATTAATAATATGGATTATTATATAAAGAAGAAAGAGAAAATTAAAAGTAATGGTTAAATGATTTTTTTAATGATGATGATTAATTTGGATCCTATAGAAAAGACATAAGAAGTTGTTCACTTGTGTAATCAAATGGTTCTAACTTTAAATTTGCCCATAAATCAATATAAGAGTTTTTAATTGCAGCTGATTTATATGAAGTGTTAGTTTAATCAAAAGATTTTGATATATAAATAATGAATACGATAATAGAGATGTTGACAAAAGAAAATAATCAATAGTAGAATTGCTTAAATTTTCTATCAAATTTACACTATTATTAGTTTAATAATTAAATTGAAAATATACCACTGTTGGAAAAACAAAAATAATTTGATACTTTTTAACAGACATTAATTCTTTAGGCCATTTGATCAGAAGTATAAAAGAACATGATATAAACTCTGTTAATTATTCCACTGAAATTTATGCTGAAACAAGAAAATATTTGATTAAAAAAATATCACAAGAGATTAGAATTATCGAATTTTTGAAATTCTTAGTTCATCTCACAAAAATAGATTTAAATTTTATAATAAGTGGATCTAATGCACTTAATATATTGGTTGGAAATGAAGGTGGATCTAACAAACTAAAATTTTGAAAATATAAGAATTTAAAATACTTCATTGTTTGGAGGTAATTTTGCAAAATGTAATTTAACTAGATCGTAATTTGATAATGTTAATATCAATGGAGTTAATTTATGTGGAGCTTAACTGTTTGATTGTAATTGGAAATAATTAAAAATAAATGATTTATATTCATTAGATGGTCATAGTAATACTGTCTAATCAGTTTTTTTCTCTCCTGATGGTAATACATTAGCATCTGGTAGTAGCGATAAATCTATCCGTCTTTGGGATGTCAAAACAGGATAATAAAAAGATGTCTAGTAAGTCTGTTTCTCTCCTGATGGAAATACATTAGTTTCTGGTAGTAGTGATAACTCTATCCGTCTATGGGAAATCAAAAAAAAGTATTGTTCAGATTAAAGATTTAAAGAAATTTAGGTTAAAAATACAAGATATCCTTTTTTTAACACCCCTTTGCAGTAAAAGAATATTATTTAAAATTTAGATACATCTAATATTATGGTTTACCCAGACTTCAATTTTTCAAGGTTTAAGAGAGTTTTTTATAAAAAACCGTTTCCTTTTAGGAGAATTATTGGAGTAAATCATAATTTCTTACCATAACAATTGATTAATTTAAAAACTAACCTATATTAACCCTTAATTTAAATCTATTTTAATATACTTCTTGTGTCCAATATTTTTTGATAGAGTTCTATTTTATAGTTTTTTTCTTTTTTAACAATCTTGAAGCATTACTAAAATGGAAATTAATTTAGCACATTTTAAAATATTATGAAATAGAACTTTTAGTTGTATGAATGCAAAAATATCTTAAATCTTTGTATACTGTTTTTTGGTATTATTCTTATCATAACCAAGCATTTTCTCTCAATTTATAATTAGAATGTGAATTTTACAAGATTTATAAAGTAGATTCTACAACTAAATCTTTCAGCATTTATCATTTCTAAGTTTTCTAATGTTTGTATTTCTTGAAAGTCGATATATTCTAATATTCACAAAACAATATTTTTCTCAACTCATATTTAATTAACAGTAATACAATTATTTTTTATTAAATTGATTTTATAAACTTTAAATTTTCAAAATGTTATTGAAAAATTTTTATTAGTAAAATACTTATTTTTGAAATTTAAGAGAAA